TTCCTTGTCCCTCCCCCTTCCTTCCTTCCCTCTTTCTTGTCCTTCCCCCCTTCCTCCCTCCCCTCCCTTGTTCTTCCCCCTTCCTTGTCCCTCCCAATAATAGAAATACACCCCCACCTTGTCCCTCCCCTACCCCCTCCCTTTAAGATAAACTGTGTAATGTGTGTAGTAATACATTTCAAATACATCCCCACCTTGTCCCTCCTCTACCCCCTCCCTTTAAGATAAACTGTGTAGTGTGTGTAGTAATACATTTCAAATAAATTACAACTCAATCTATGACTTCTACATGTGAATTTTATAAGGAAATATGAGTGCCAAGTCATCAGGATAAGCTTGGAGTTGAAAAAAACTTACTCTGCTTGATTCCAGTCCTATTCCAGTGGAATTCCAGTGGAATGCTGTGGATTCCACTGGAATTCCTCTGGATTCCTCTGGAATTCCTCTGGAATTCCACTGGAATGACTCTATTCCTGCAGGATTCCCCTGGAATTCCACTTGAATGATCCCATTCCTGCAGGAATCCTGCAGGAATAGGTGGGGCACTGTAAAGTACTGGCATAAGTCCATAGTCTTCATGATAGGAATCATTCCAGTTACCATGCCTTTTCGTTAGAGAATTTTCATGAGGTACCTGGGTAATATCATTGTGATTTTCATTAGATGCCTGGGCTACATTATTGGAAATTTGATTAGCTACTTGGCCAATATCATTGCAGTTTTCATTAGATCCCTGGGGGGATATTATTGGAAATTTCATTAGCTGCTTGGCCAATATCATTGCAATTTTCATGAGTTATGCCTGGTGCTTTCAATGGATATTTCATTCTTTGTCCCAGGATATTTTATTGCACTTTTGATATATATCTGGCACTTTCAATAGATATTTCACTATAGTAAAAATAGCTATAAAATTAAATTAAATTATAAATTAATAGAAATGATGGATGGGATTGAAAGTGTCAGGTGCGTTCACGACATACATTTTCCAGTCACTGACTTCTATGTCCTGCCCACAGCATCCTACAGCTATTGACCCACCTCTCTTGGGCAATGCAAACGACAAGGAACCAGCAACAAAGGGACATTTTGTGATGTGTGTTCTGCTCATCATACCACAGCGATGCTGGAAGAGGGCTTTTAGGAAGATCAAGGGTTTCAGAAGGAGGCTCTTCGCTGCCTTATCTTAATGGACCTTACTTTCGCTCAATTGTTTCCTTACCTACATTTTGCTCTCACTATTTCTTGTACACCACTTGTTGCCTCATCAGTCCTTTGTCGCCTCATGTGTCCTGGATGTTTTGTTGATTCCAAGTTCTTTCGCCCTTCCCGCTTGTCAGATCCATTGAACACACAATCCCAGCTTCACAGTAAAACAACTTTACCTCACATACAAGAAGACAAATGAGGGAACAACACATACACGACTAGAATCTAACACGTAAACACTGTGAGGAGGACAGAGGAGGGCGGAGAACAGATTGATATGCAACAGAGGGATGGTCTTTTGCATAGTGAGTACATACGCCACCTTGGGTATCATGCATGACACTAATGATTGCATGTAGCCATGTTCACCCTTCCTGCTTGTAGATCACCTTTGAACATGCAATCCCAGCTTTACTTAAGCTTCAAAACAACGACAACCTTACCAGTGTCAGCAGCAGCAGCAGCAACATGGTCTAGCATTTCCTGCTGGTGACTTTAACCCTTAACCTTCACAACCAACCACAAGTGGTGGACTTGCATCGTCTCTGTCAAATTCATCCACTCAACCCCTGCACCCCTCACCTTTGCACAACAGTATGTCATGGCTGTAGAAGGCGCCCACAGAATGTCGTCACATGCTGAACCCAGCAGCTATTGCAGCCTTAGGCCTGGCGCGCTCATGCAACTCTGGCTTCGAATCAATGGATAGGCAGCCCTCTTGAAACACTTGCAGTGACGAACTTCAGATACAATTTTTCATTGAGTTTTGTTTTGGCAGGTGTCCTCATGTGTTTCTGTTTTGTTCAAGCTGAAGTGAAGATCAACATGATCTACAAAGCTATTCATGGTTCCGTTCCTTGAGATGTTACCTGTGTTTGAACCAAACACACCACTTCTATTCATAGTAAGCAAGGCACCCTTCCTCACAGCCCATCCTCATGCATTGTTTGCAGCCCAATACTCCAATCTTTCCATGCAAATTGTGTTACCATTGTGCAGTTCCCCTGCAGAGATCTTAGCTAGGTTGTGGTTGGGTTGTGGGTTGAGGGTTGCACCTTTCTGGGAAGAGGTCAGCCAGCTGGTATGTAGGGTATATAATATGTACTTACAGGAAAGCCATCATAGTCCAACTGGTTGAGCACTGATCTATGTAATGTGACACAGTGTCCAAGAGGTCAAGGGTTCGATTCTCTGAAGTTGTGCTTTTTATATATATGTTATAATAACAACAACAGTGACAATCTACTGGTCCTATTGGACTCCTGGTGCTCAGAAATTCCTACTGGACTCCACTATACCCATTCCTTAGGAATCCACAATTCCTAGTTGTTTGGGACCATTCCAGTAGGAATTTACTGGGACTCCACTAGGACTGGGACACAAAATTTGTATAGTGATCAGCCAACATAAAAATTGTCCCAGTCCTAGTCCAGTCCAGTAGGAGTCCAGTAGGAATAGGTGGGGGAGTGTAAAGAGCTCCATCACTGATGAAACGAGCCCAGGCTAGGTCCAGGTGATGCAACGACACATTGTCTGGCTGATTTTGGGTACCCAGGTGAGTAACCAGGCCCATTACACCCCCATGGCTTACCATACAGGCACCATGCCACTCTAGCGCCCACGAACAACTAGTGTTCGCAGGTCCAGTCTACAGGACTGAAAATATACATAGGACTGAACTGGACTGAACCACAGTCTGGTCTTTTTCCAGTTGCAGTTGCCCACATTTGTGGTCAGTCCAGTTGCCAGTTGCCATGTTTTTGTAAATATTAAAACCGAAAAAGACCAGTTTAGACCGGTTGCAACTGGTCTTTCATCCCATCATGTGTTAGACCTTACTCGCACACATTATTACTTAATTTTCAGTCTCTCAATCATCAAGAACAGTCAAGAATTGGTTGAGATATGGCCAAAAACATTTTTATATGCAATTTGAAGTATATCCTTTCCGTTTTTTCCATAGCTCAGTCAAATCTTCACGGAATTGCTTAAATTCTTAATCAGTCTATGGAGAATTATAATATCTATCTATGTATGCTATGTACGTGAGGTAATATTTAGTTTGTTTGGTGGACCGGTCTTTTTCGCGTTGTGGACCGATTAGGACCAGTCTAAAGCGGTCCGGTTGCAGCCCCTTGATATCTGGATCGGTCTAGACCAGTTGCAGTTGCCAGTTGCGTCGTTTTGAGGTAAAAAAACTGGACTTAACTGGACTTTAAAACACTACGAACAACAAATGGGGCCCGAAACCCATCAACAACACCAGCCCCCACCCTCCAATGACACCTGCTGCCTATAAACAATGCCCACCACCCACTGCCCATGAACATGGATGACGAACCCAATCCCCCACAGAAACACATGCTGCGCCCACATCAGCTCACTCAGAACGACCTGGCACCCACAAACGACAACCGCCACCCATGCAAAACAGTTTACGCACCCATCGCGGGTGGCCAACGTTGAGGTCTGACGATCAAGGCTGGTAAGTAAGTTTGCATATTAAATATATTGAACAACTTCATAACCTCAATTAGAGTTGGAAGCTACTAGTACTTGACCTGAGACCATCATCATATAGTACACCACAGCAGAATGACTTTGATCATATTCAAAAAGCTCAATGTTGCACTAGTAGTACACAATGAGTCAGAATGCAAACTGCAGGAGGACTACACCCAGCATGCTGCCAAGAAGGTACAACTATGATGCATCCAATCAATTAAAGGTGTAACATAGTCAGACTAGACTCAGAAAGCTCACCTCCAGCAGAACTCCTGAAAGGATACTGCTGAGAATTACTATGTCATGGTGGTGGTCACCCTGAGGGTGATGAAGGAGTTGGTGGAGGCAAAGCAAAAAGATTTCATTGGTCAGTCCCCATTGGTGTTGACGTCCTTTCAGTACAAAAACCAATGTTAGCTCAGTTAAAGTTGATAAAGCTAGGAACTGACCCTAATCATAATCGCCTCTGCCAAGAATGAGGTAACACTATCTGGATTCATGGGATCAGGGGCCCAGATCCCAAAGAGAGAAAACATGTAAGGTGCGGGTGTAAACCATATGGTTAGTGTGTCATGCAAATTGAAGCTATGTCATAAACAGCATGCAGCACTGATCTGGCTAGGTCTTAAAGGAAACATTGTGGTGTTACTAACTCCTGTCTATCAGGAGATAGTGTCAAATGATGTTCCAGGTGGAAACCCTGACCCACTCAAAGCTAATCTGATGCAATGTTTCATTATCCCACACAAGTAGACATAGGTGTCCCTATAGTACCATAAGAGTGCAACTTGGTCAATTGTCCTATAGGTCATAGGACTACCCAAATGGGCCCAATGAGCAACTAGACTATGGTGTTGTAGATTGGCCCAAAGGTGTATAAACATCTAATGTTTATCATTAGGCCAAATAGGCAAAATGGATGGTGATATTAGGAGAGGGATTTCTGAAATACATTATCTCCAGGGCATACACAAATGTTATAGAAGTCTGAGGGATGTGCGGAATATTCAGAAAAACAATCCTGGTGTCCATATCAACATCCCAGCACAGAATGCGAAATGTCTGGAGCATCACTTCTGACATCCAGAAAACATGCAAAAAAGAGTTTACAGAATACAATATCCCATGGACCTGTATAAATGTGCCAGGGATCGATGAAATGTTGAGGAGAACATCCCTCGCATCCATATATATGTTCTGGGACAATGTGACATCTCCAGGCTATCAACTTTGATATTTATGGGACATCCGAAAATGGCTCAGGTGTGAACCACATTTGATAGAACATCCCACAGGACCATTAATATTATTATCCCAGCAACATCAGAAAAAAAGATCATGGTAGCCACATAAATGTCCGAGGGGAATGCAAAAGGTCTGGAGCAATAATCTGAATATTCACAGGACATTGAAAAGGCAATGTTGGATGTCTGGACAAATGTCCAGAGCATTAATTTGAATATACAGAGGACATCCAAAAAGCATCCCCATAAATGTTTTGGGGAAATGCGAAA